GCCATAAGGTGGCTTCAACTCGTCGCTCCACTCTCCCCTCCGCGCCTTGCCGAAGGCGTCGCATTCGCGTTTTTGGTCGCTTTTCACCGCGCTTCTCACCTTATTGCAAATCGCCGCCCGATGATTACATTTACAATGTAATTGCATGCCGTAATAATCTGCACAACCACATCTGCAGTTCATTTTGTAAGAGATTAGCACTATTTTAACCGCCGGCGTATCGGACACATGTGAGAAGGGAGGCGAAACAGGAATCAGCGTCAGCCCTGGCGCATATTGAGCCCAATTATTTATGACAACTGAAGTTTGCTCAGTGATAGTGGCGGAACATTCGAAATAAGTATAGTGCAATGTATATGTATAAGCGCGCACTTAGAATCTTAAGGAATGTGACCAAAATACTCAGCATATGAAGTTATGTGTGTTTCCTGAAAGTCTCCTGCCTCGCTTTACTAAAAAATTTAAAATAGTTGTTCATGATTATATAAGATATATAAGTAGCAAACGTTTAACTCACATTATATCTGATGCTCGGGATGATGGTAATGTCCACATCAGGCGACTTGTTTGTTCACGACATTACACCTACATCTGCTAGACGTTCTTAATGGTTTTTGCAATATAAACGTTTACTTGATTTATTTTTGAATTTAGAGAAACTGTATACCATGTTCGGTCAGATATCTGCAGTCATTAAAGGGTGTTGACATTTTTAACAGAAAATTTAATTTATTTATTTTATTATTTTAACACAAGGACCCCTTTAAAAAAGAAACGGTAACAGGCAGCTTGAGAGTGCCTAGGGCTCAGATTATGTTATGCCGAAAAGAAGCCATCTATATAGAAATCAGCCGATTTCAGTGTTGTTGATTCTAGATCGCATCAGTTTCAATGGAGATCTGTCTATACAGGTTCATGAATTCGTGCCTAGCATTCGACTTCAGCCAAACGTACGGGAGTTCACTTCTCTCGGACCCTTTAATTTTATTTAGCAAAGTTTATACAAAGACAACATTTCATGCTTCAATTGATGGGCCTGTCGCTTCTTTCATGTGCCAAGCACGTCGTAATCAAATGTCAGTAAAACAAAAATGCTCTCAATAAGTACTTTAGCAGGGGCAATAGCTAAACGAATTTCCCACCCGACCTAGGACGGACTATCGAAAAGTGTCTCGAATACTTAATTTCTTTAAAGAAAACAGCTCGAGACAATATTACTTATTTCTTAGAATATCTGCGTTATTATAGGATACAATTCTAGTCTCTGAAGTTTACAAACATTTTGTGTTCGCGAAAATCTGACAGTGAGCAGTAAACTGGCGGCTTCATGTGTTTTTCGCGATTCAGGAGGTTTCTAATCAGGTTGTGGACCTACATTTTTACTATACATCTACTCATTAGTCTCTTTATAAATTCATTTTTATGGAAACTCGGGTCAGCGGGTACGGCCGTAGACGATTGAAATCCTCCTTGTGCATCACAGCCGTTTCGCCGCTGAACCTGATCGAAATTAACGACGAACATGACCAGTAGTAGTAGTAGTAGTAGTGCTTTGTGAAGGAAAGGCAGAGATTTTAACCCGAACGTCAGTTCTGGTTTGCTACTCTGCACCGGGGATAAGGAGAGGGGGAAGGAAATACATGACCAGATGCATCGTAAAGTGTTCGTAAAAAAGTCCGCGAAAATTACCCGAAACCACTTCGTGGTTTTCAAATTGGCTCAGTACCACCGTTTCATTAGTTATGTACTATAACGGGCACATTTGTGTCACGAAATTATGCGCAACTGACATAACACATAAACAGAGCCACGAGCGCGTTGAAACCGAAACCAATCAAGTTGAAGCCACCCAATGGCAGCGAGTGCGCCAGCGCCCTCTATACGCCGGTCGGGTTACTACTGAGATGAAAAGGTCTATAGTAGGTTGCAACTCAAGAAGGTAAAGCGCGGGAAAGGAAGGCCGGGGAGGAGGAAGCACACAGAACGCATAAGAGAGGAGGACGTTTCCCCCTCTCCTGTCCAGCGTTCCGTCTGCTTCCTCCTCCCCGGCCTTCCTTTCCCTCGCCCCACCTTCTTGAGTTGCAACGGACTAAAGCTTGATCATGCTGACAGAATGTCGGAGAGCGCAGAATGTGCCGTCACTGAGCTGTGACTGGTCCCATGCTACGCGTTGTGTGAGGTCATGAAGTCACATGACTGTGACGTCACACGATGCCATGATGTCACGTGACTGCACGATGTCACATGGTGTCACAAAGTCACGTGGCCTTATTACGTCACGCAACGCCAGAGTGTCACGCGACATCATGACGTCATCATGCCATGTGACGTCACGTGACATGAGAATCTCACGTGACGTCAAAATGTTACGTGACGTCAGGCTATCACGTGACATCATGGTGTCACATGGCGTCTTGATGTCACCTGATTTTATAATGTCCCGTGACGTCAGCGAGACCCCTGACACCCTGTCATCAAGAGCATGTATAAGCAAATGGGCCCACCCTGATTAAATCATTGCCCGAACTCGGCCCGAGTCCGATTTTGGTTCGTGCACGTCCGCCCGAATCCGATCCGACCGGTAAGTATTCCGGCCCGAGCCCGACTGTTCTTTTCAATGCGAGCCCGCCCGATCTTGGCCCGTACCCACTTTTTTTTTAACGAAGAGTGTGTTTTACGGCTGACTGGCTCCTAGCATTTTATGTACTTACGTCATTCTTGGGGTCGGAAGTAAGCGCCACTCGAAAATTTAAAAGAAAAAAACAATGTATGGAAAATTGCTAGGAAATTGTGTTACACACGTGAAACGTTCTAGCATCATAAACGTTTAGCGATACTCTGAGTTTCCATACGCCAGACGCCTACACTCACGCCGCTCTTCATCGGAAAGTTTAACGCGTACCATGTGTACACTCGATAGTTGTTCCTAGGATAAAGCGATACTGGGGCTAATAATCGGGCTGATAAACCTGGCGTTCTTCCAGAGCCTTCCATACTCTCGAGCCCCTCTCCCTCAGTGCGCACAGGTAGTCGAGCTCCTCCTTGCCAACCCCACTCCTCCTCACCTATCCCTCTGGTCACATGACCTCCCCGTTAACCAATCACGTCGAGCACCTCACTCCTCTCCCATCCACCAACCAATCAGTGTCGAGCCTTGCGACCACGCTTTTATCCAGGCTTCACGAAATGCCGAATACCCAGCCATAGAACGTTTCATGTTAAAACGTGTGACAATGTGTCAAGTTGCTCTCTGCCGGACCCAGAACGGATGCCCCGCCAAGGCTTTCCTACAAATAGAACCTCAACTCACGGCGATGTGTCGTACTTGCTTAATAATCTAAATGATCTGGGATCGAATCCCGCCTGGTGCAAACGACCTTTTTTCTGCGATGGCGTCCCCCGCCCCCCCCCCCCCTCCCCCTTTCCCCCTACTCAAAACCAATCAGCGTCGAGCTTTGCGACCACGGTTTTATCTGGTATTCACGAAATGCCGAACACCTAGCCAAAGAACGTTTCCCGTTAAAAAGGCGAGCAATTGTTTGTTGGGGAACAAACTTTATACCCTTTCGTTGTGAATCTGACCCTGAACAAGGTTGTAAGTTGGTAGCAAGTTAATCGTGGTCGAGAAGAGACTTGACGATCACGTGGACGAGAGCGGTCCCGTAATTTACTCTTCGGCTAATGTTAGGAGACACATTCTGCATTTGTTAGTATCACTGCCCCAACAAAAATAATAAAAAAAAAACTCGGTATTTTTTTTTTTGCAGTGATTAGCCATCTGACCGCTAATTAGAAGACCCGTAGTTTGAATTCCGGCGCCGTCAGAAAGAGTTTTTTTTTCTTTTTAGTTTATTTTGAGGGATTTAGAACGATTATTTGATTCGGTCAGTAGTGTTTATTCATCTGCATATTTTTGGTTAAGTTCTCCCTTCAATCGACATGCCATTATTTCGCAGCAAACCCCATTTTCTTCCGCTTAAAATTATACCCCGTTTTAGCAAAATTGTCAGCGAAGCCATATTTTATTTGCTCTCAGGAGCCGTGTTGGTTATGATCGTGTGGATATCAGAAGACAGGCTTGATTCATCAAACTTCACCGCTTATACAAGTAAATAAAACCGACACAGTAATTTATTTTACGTGCAAGTGAATATTTAGCGGAGGGTAAAAATTTGTAAATGCATGACAGTTTAGTTGGCATCACTTGGTAATTCAGCGCGAATAAAATCTAGAGCATGTGTAATGCTGAATAGAAAACGAGAGCCAGCTCAAGACAAGGAATCACCAACCAAGCGAAATTGATCGCGAAGAATGCAACTTGCTATAAAAGTTTAATTATGGTGCCATTTATACGCCACCATCACCAACCTGTGTCGTCATTTTCTGCATTATAACTTGCGCTCTCTTTCCGCTACCTTTTGTGTGTTCACAGATCTTATGAAGTAGAGTATACCGCAGTACCTGAAATCGAATTTTTAGATTTAGCAATGTCGGGTTTTCGGGTACCGAGAACTCAATCCCGGACCAACCCAAGCCTAAAGCGCGAAACACATGTACGACGAAACCGTCCGATCCGACGTTCGACCACGCAATACGACGGTCGGAGGCGAAGGTTTTCAATGCTCTCCGATGCTCGAAAACCCTCGCCCTCCCCCCTTCCCCCCCCCCCCCCCCCCCCCCCCCAAGGTCATTCCTGCAGTCCACACGTCGGATCGGAAAGTTTTGTCGTGCATGTGTTTCGCGCTTAACTCAGCTCAAAATAAGTAGGCCCGAAATGTTCTATCCTAACTGTCTAACGTGAGGGACAAATCTGTAGAACTTTTTCATGTAATTTTGCTGAAAAAACAAAAATCGCACTTGCGTGATCTATGCTTCACCTCCAAATAGCATCTACACGCAACATACGTCTTATACTGACCCAGTTCGAATAGATAAATGCAGGTGCTGTGTTAGAGAGCGAGAAGTATGACATAGGTGCACGTATACTCTCTTCTCTGCAGGTCTTCAGCGCGGCTACCTTTCCCGTCGAGGCAGCAGGGTCCCTCCGCAGCGGCGGCCGCTTCTGCAGCGGCGTCTTCGGCGGCCACGTCCTACGTGCCGGTCTCGGTGGCCATACCACAGCGGCCGTCCAGGACCATCGTCGTCCCGTCCGGCCACAGAGCCATCTTCGTCCCCATTGAATACGTCGGTGGAAACTAGCATTGTGTGAAACAAAAAGAATTGCCCGAGAGAACGCTTTCTTGGGATGCACACGCGCCTGACAATCTTGGCAATCAACGAGCGCGGTCTAAAATGATCACCGCCTCCTTTAGGCGGGTTGGTGCTGCATTTGGGAATACATGGTTGCGCTCGAAGACAAGGACGAAAGGAGGAGAACTGGACACCACTGTGCGCTAACGAATGGTAGCGCACAGTGATATGTAGTTTTTCTCGTTTTGTACATCTTCGAGCGCAACAATCTATTCTAAAATTATTGTACCTCAAATATTCGACAAAAATCCCTCAAACGTTTTAGCGATATGCCATGTCCAGCGAACGCTTCCCGGCGGACAAGGCAACAGTGCTAGGCAGTGGCGTAACAACTTGTTTTTGAAAGGGGGGGGGGGGGGGGGGGGCAAACCAGACCCCCCCCCCCGGGCCGGGGCGGTGCCCTTGCTATCTTTTGTGCGCCGCCGGCCAGTGTTTTCCCTGCCCAGTGGCGGCTGTTTCAGGGGGGGGGGGGGGGGGGGGGGGCAAAACACATGCCTTGCCCCCCCCCCCCCCCCACTTCGAGTACTGGGGGGCAAGCGCCCCCCTTGCCCTCCCCCCCCCCCTCCCCCACTCCCCCCGGTTGGTACGCCCATGGTGCTAGGCGATTAACACCCCAACGCAAGCTAAATATAAACCAGGGTCGGTAAAGCCTACTAGATATTCAGTCTACTTCTAAACTCACATAACTGGGCACTGGTGTCTTACAATCCAGGTGCTGTTATATTTGTTTGTTTTTAAGCGTACCAAAACAGTACCGCATTGTGTTAGCTAGGCCGATCGGATGAGCTACAAGGATTGGATTATTGTGTGCATTGTGCACGAAAGGGCACTCTCTAGCAATTCTTGATGTGCATCACGAGGAGGGATAACAGAATAAGAATCAACGTGTCAATTGCCTGGACTGTACCGGTGCAACGTAAGCTATTTATTACGGGATTCCTCCATGAACGACCCCGGGTGCTCCAACTGTGGAATCCATCCCGCTGCACGGCCAACCGCGTAAAGACAGAAAACAAAAATAAGAATACATCCTAAAAAACACACACACACACATACAAAAACATGCAGTTTTTATCCCTTAGTCTGACGTACCAGTGTACCATAATTATCATACGGTATGAAAGTTTTTGTAATCCCCTGACACAGTAAAAAAAGGCAACAAAGTGCTCATTCAAAGGACCGTGACATGATTTTTAAAATGTTTTCTGACGAAATTAGAAATCACGTGGTCATGACGTGGTATTTCACTGGATGCGATGATTTCAAGCCTCCACTGTGCTTTTTAATCACATCAAGCGAGCTTGCCAATCGCACGTGATGAAAAGTGACGTCACGACACTCATTGGCTACGAACGCGGATCCAAATGTTCTTCGACAGATTGATTGATGACGAGAGCACACGTCCGAGTGACACAGTTATCGTGTCCCGTGTCCAATGCGAGCGCTGTTTTCGGATGACGTGTTTGTGCACTGCAGATGCATCACAGTGAAAAGGAGGAGAGCTTTCGAAGGAAAGAAAATAATAAATAGGCCGCTATTTTTTTTTTGTCGGTATTTTTGTATCGAAAATTAATTAGATTCTCGTCTTTCTACCCTCGTGTGCTATTTTTTTCCTGCCTACTAAAGGAATTGCGATTAATAAAATCCCAACCTAAAATCATTTACCTTAGCCCAAATTTAATTTCATGGTACCTTTAAGCACAACGAACAGAGTCCAGAGATTAAAAACAAACAGTTTCTATGTACCGGTCATTATGTTTAAGTTGTACCAGGTCTATGCGCCCTTGTATTTTACTAGTGAGTTTGTAATGGTCAGTTCTCTCCATAAGAAGTGAAAGAATGTCCACCAGGTAAAGTTTGGCACGAAGTTGATGGCGCAACCACGGTGAAGGACTAGAAGACTGGTCCAATAATACACTCGTATAAGCATTGTCCGCCTGGTGCACTTTGTAGCAGGCTCCAACGAAAGGCTCCAGCATTTTCAAAGAACTTGATCTAGAACTTTTCTTTCTGAAAAAAAGAAGAGAAAAACAACAAAAAACATAATGCTGACCAGAGTAGTATACCCTGTTTTGGCTTGTTTATTTTTTTTTCACACGAATTATTTGACTTCTTAGACGGCTTTTTTCTACAGGCATTTTATTAGCAACTATTTCTGCAATGAATTTAGATTGCAAAATAAAAAAAAAAAAAAAAAAAAAAAACAAGGAGACGCAAAAAAAAGTTAAAATTGCGAACACACAAAATACGTTGTGTGCAGTGCAGGCGAAGGCAACGCCAGGCGCAGGAGGATAGGGCGAGCACTGGCAAGGCAAGGCAAGGCGGGACGGAAGAGGAGGGCAATGGAGGGCGGGGGAAGAAAGGGAGAGTACTGGTACTAGGAACGTCAGAGAGGAGAGGACCTTTCTCTCCCTCTTCTCGTCCCCAGCCTTCCTAGTGCTTGCCCTTTCTCTCCTCGCCTGCCTTCGCCTGTACTGCACGCAACTAGTGACACGGAGTATAGCTGTGTTTGGATGTTTGTGTTTGTTCTTTATCCCCTTTGTTTCCCTTGTCCAGAGATATTATTATTGTCACGAAAAGATGTTTGAAATGCCGGGTCTACGGGCGCTAAGCGTATAGCGATACCGACTTACGTACTTGTACAAAAAATGTATTTTGTTTTGTTACATTTTTAACAGAATGTCTTGCCGTAAATAGTATGTCACGTGGCGTGGGCGCCACGTGGCGTAGGGTGGTTTCACGTGACGTTTTTTCGACACGAACTCTCGCCGGAAGCCATCTTGATGAACATTCGCACTATGTGTTTTTGTGTGCGAAGGCAACGTTTTGCAGCTCGCTGGAGTTCTCTCGCGTTCGGATCGACGTCGACTGTGGGATTAGTCGGCGACACAAGGAAGCATCGGCTGGTGCTCGACATTTATACATACCGGTCTTTCTTCGTTGTAAAGACAAGTCGGCACTCGATAAGGCAACCCGTCGGTGTACAAAATGGCCCAGTAGATGCCACCGAGGCGCTCCCTGAAAGAAAAAGAAAAAGTGGAATAAGTGTAGGTTTATCGGCTGAAATACGACCTCGGTCGTACGTACCAGTTCCATCGTTCACCAAGCCGCTCCCAGATGCCCGTCGTAGGTTTGGCACGTAAAACCCTCACCAAGCCGCTCGCCACGCTTGTGCGCTGCACCAGCACCAAAAACGACGCCAATAATTCTGATCGTCTGCAAACAAACTAATGGTTAAAGGAGCGGACGCCGTTCATCAACGTGGCTGCACACGGTTTACCGCAAGTTAAAAAAAGAATGTCGGAACTGCTGTAAAACACCAATCATTCCCGTAATCTGCATACATACACCATTCTTACATCTCCCTTTCCTTATGACATGTTTTATGGAAGGTGTGTTTTGAGGCTTACTCTCGTACCATAGGAAATATTTGAAATATTCGTAGCGCGACTCTTTTTGGCGGTTGTCTCAAGTTGTTTGAATGATTCCTCCACTGATTGATCATACAACGGGGAAAAAAACTATTTAATAAAAAAATATGAATCCTTGGAGGCGTCCTTGTTGTCCCTTGTCGTGTTTATAAAAAAATGAAAAAAAAAATTTCCGACAGTTTATAGTTATTGACAGTGCAAGATACACAGGGTGCACCAAATACCGAGCATATTATCATCACTTTGCAGCCAATAAAACGCGATATATTAGCTGATAAGAACGATAAAGAACTAATGGCTAAGCAAGAGGCGTGATGATAATAGGCCACGCAGTCCGTTTCTTGAGCTCTCAGTTATAATAATTTTTTTTTTTTTTTACATTCACTACGAAAGGAGACAAAAAAAAAAAAAAAAGCTGCGCTGTGCTGCTTGACAAGTCCTTGGCCCCACTTAACATTTGACAGCAGTGGCAATACGAAAATACACGCAGACAAAAGCAACGAAAATAACTATTTTCATACTCCACGGACTCAACCGCGTACGACACACCAGGAACGCAATATTTAATTTAAGGGCTGATCGCCTTCGAGCGGCACTTGAACCAGGTCAATACATTCAAAAATAGGTCCACCCCTTTATGTGAAACAATGCCTGCGCGTGTATTTCTCTGCAACGCGCAAGATAGAGCCAATCATTGCGAGTTACGGAAGAGGCTAGGCGAATGACGAGGCACCGATAGCGCCGGACCGCAGAAAAGTGACAAATATAAATCGCTTTGGTTTTGTTTTTTCTTTATGCCAAACTTTATTTTTGTTTGGCCATTCACCGGCTTCTATCGCAAGCCTTAATCCTTGGTCTCCGTGGGTTCTCCGAAAAAGTACACAAGCAGATCTGTTCATAATTAAAGGACGACCTATAAACTTTCGAATACATACGCCGTACTTAATATAAAATCACTGACAGCTTGAGAAACGAAGGGCGTGGCTTATTATGTTAATTTACGACTCTCACTTGGTGATTGATTTTTCGGCCTTTCTTATCGGCTAATGCTATAATCCCATTGGCTGCTAAGCAATAATGAGATGCTCTAAACTCGGCACGCCCCGTGTTTCTTTTGCTTTCTTTGACTATAGTATGAACGGCAAGCGTACATTTTACAGCCTAATACTAGTGTGACCAGCGTTCCCGTTTTAGAGGTTTATTTACGTCGTCCCGTCTTGTTTCCTCGAAAAATCCTCTTTTCGTGAGAACGCGTGCAGTTCAGAAATCAGTACGAAGCCAATGGAAGAAACCCAAAAGAAAGTATCTTTCCTAGAGAAGTATTATTTTTTTTTTAATAATAAACGTACAATGAAACTGCCGCCTCCCAAACGGTACAATTTCGAGCTTTTTCCTTCGTTACATCTGGCAATAAATCTGCCAGAGCTTTCTTGCAGTACTACTGAATTTGAGATGTTAAATTGGCAACAGTAAAAGTGTGACGGATGTCAATTATCCGACTCCGTGACAATATGCGTT